AGCCACGATATTGTTTCATTGAACTATTTGTGTTAACAACAATAATAATAATAATAATAATAATAATAATAATAATAATAATAATAATAATAATAATAATAATAATAATAATAATAATAATAGTTCAATGAGACTAAATAAAAATAAATTGCGTTCTGTTATGACAAATGCTCGTTTGGATAGACTCATGATGCTTGGAATACATCATGATAGGTGAAGCAACCTCGACCTTGACAGCGTGGTTAACATATTTCATGCAAAATTTCCAAAATGTAGAATTTCACTTTTTAAGAATGAGGATTTGAAAATAAATTAGATGGTTACATTACATACTCTTTGTTTCTTGCTCAAAATGTTTTGGTTTTAGTAGCAGATATTAGAAAAACATAGCCTACATGAAGTCATATTATAGTAACTCGATGCCTATCATTCAAATAAGTAATAAAAATTCGCCATAATTCGTCAAATATCTGTGGCTTCCAGGGGGCCTCGTCCCCTGGACCCCCACCGGGGGCCTTGAACGGCCCCCAGCCAAGTGAGACTCGTTTCGCTAATCGTAATCGTTAATCTGTGTCTTTGATGCTGTCATTATTTATGATTGATATATTGATCATATTAAACTATAACCATTAGCAAACTTAAGGAAAAAACCTGTGTCAAGGTTTTTCCTTTGTTCTATTAACTTGATACGTTGTCCCCAATCCCACAAGTATATTTTGGTATTGCCAAATGGTAAAAATACCAATGAAGTAGATCCAACTTTTATTTTATAGAAAAATAACCTATAGTGAACAAAAAAGTAGTTTGCGCATGCCTTGTTCTACAGTCTTTGCCGATTAAATAGCCTGTGTACCTAATTCTGAGACCTCTTCTTTTCGAAGTAATTGCGTTTTAATTTAATCTGCATGGGAATATCAACTGTTTGATATTTAAAAAAAATGTGTATATAGTCTGTATCTGCAGTAGGTTTAACACATTTGATACAATTGTTGGAAGATGTTCATCTAGTTACCTCATCGATATTTACGTTAAAGTTCTAAGATATTCGGAAAAAATTTTGTCGGCCATTTTGAAATTCAAAATGGCCACCATTTATGATCCTGTGAATATCACCATTCGACAGCTTGACATTGAAAACATAGGGGTTGGCTACCTAAATCATGTTGACCTGCTCTAATGGCACAATTATGGTTTTTATTACTGTGAAAATGGCGGCCATTTTGAAATTCAAGATGACCGCCATTTATGATTCGTGAGAATATCACCATTGGACAGGTTGACATTGAAAACCTAGGGTTTGCTACCAAAATCAAGTTGATACCTGCTGTAAATAGCACAGTAATTACTATTTTACTTTTAAACTGGCAGCCATTTTGAAATTCAAGATGGCTGCCATTTATGATCCATGAAAATCACCATTGGACAGGTTGACATTGAAAACATAGGATTGGTACCAAAATCATGTCAATACCAACTCTAATAGCGCAGTTATGGTTACTTTTACGGTAAAAATGGTGGCCATTTTGAAATTCCAAAATGGCCACCAAGACAATGTCGGAAAAAATGGACCCTTGCATTTTTTGATTCAGCATACCCAAAATATCTGGAAAATGCAATAAAATTGCTTTGGGCAAGCCTATCTCGTAAACCTGTTTTTTTCGACATTAGGTTTCTCACTACCATTATTAGTGGGGCGGATATGTGACTTGGGCGTGCACTTCTGGAAAGAAGCATGAAAATTTGTCATAGGTTTTTGAGTATGCTCATTTCAAAAATTGCAGGAACCAAGACGTCACTCCAACCATTCCCGCCGAAACTTGGGAAAATCCAATTGGCCACCAAAAGACACAATTTTGGCAGTTTAAAGGCTCTAAGAGCCCATATTACCCTGTACTTGGTGTCAATATCTATGTTCTTTAGTTCAAGGAATCCAATAAAATACGATAACATACATTTTTTACCATGGAAATGCAAAAATATATAAAATATTCAAAATGACTGCCAAACACCACTATTTTGATCATTTAAAGGCTTTGAATGCCCATACTACCACAATCTTAGTGTCAATTACTATGTTCTTTAGTTCAAGGAATTCAATAGAACATATATAAAACACCAAAGCATACACCTAAATTGTGAAAAGGCAAAATAAATTCATATCAAACACTACAGTGCTTAGGAAATATTAGATCATCACTGTAACATATCCATACATGATGATATATGATGATGATAATAATAAAAATAATAGTAACATTACTAGAGCATTCACTCCATAGAGTGCATACCTCCACCCTGTGCCTGAATACAGTGCCAACAATACGCAGGCTGTGTATAATAGGCGAAACTGAAGCATATGATACACCAGAATATCTGTCTCTTATACACATCTAGATGGGGATAAGAGACAGGCATACAATCATCAATGATATATAATATAGACCTGCTTTCCACAACTGAGTAATGGAATGGAATCGATAGCACCTTTTTTATATTGCTTGAAATTGATTATTATTATTTGTTATAATAAAGTTATTTATGGAATTGTAAGCTATTGATTGAAGATTGCTATCCCCATGAGTGGACATCTGACCATAATTAATTAAAACATTTTCATAGTTGATCACTGTTTATGAATATTGGGTTTAAGAGTGATGAACTACAGGTAAATGTATATACAGTAGTATACAAAATTACAACTTGCATCTTAATTTAATGTTCTTTTTATAGAGCTCTATTATATTATGAGAGAAACAACCTATTGCAAACTCAAACCAGCTACTGAAAATCACTTTTTGACATATTCTGTAAGTTAGTTTTAGTAGCATGAGAAACTCTACAGTATAAAAAAAAAGTGTTAGTAGGGGAAGTAGGAGGATTTAACGATAAGCTATTAAAAGAGAACTAGCAAAATGATTTTTTGTTCTAGAGGAGATTTTTGATATGCCATTAATAATTGAATCAACCTTATAATAATTTTTTGGCAATTGTTTATGAAGTTATAGGCCATTATATACGATTTTACTGTGACATAACTGGCGAAAAAAGTAACAAAAGATTGTGTAAATAGCGCCGCGTAGGGTATATGCCACGTACGATCTTTGCGTGAATGCTGTAACCATAATTGTTGTAACTTGCATATCAAGTCATAGGCTTATAACTGCATCAGCGTTGTCAACAAGAGTTACAGCCTATCAAGTCATAGGCTTATAACTGCATCAGCGGTTGTCAACAAGAGTTACAGCCTATCAAGTCATAGGCTTATAACTGCATCAGCAGTTGTCAACAAGAGTTACAGCCTATCAAGTCATAGGCTTATAACTGCATCAGCGGTTGTCAACAAGAGTTACAACCTATCAAGTCATAGGCTTATAACTGCATCAGCGGTTGTCAACCAGAGTTACAGCCTATCAAGTCATAGGCTTATAACTGCATCAGCGGTTGTCAACAAGAGTTACAGCCTATCAAGTCATAGGCTTATAACTGCATCAGCGGTTGTTAACAAGAGTTACAGCATGCACACAAAGATCGCATGCAGCGGATAACCTATGTGGTTTTTTTACACGATCTTTTGTATAAATTGGCCTATTACTTCATAAGAAATTGCCAAAAAACGAATTTAAGGTTGATTCTATTATTAATGGCATATCAAAATTCACATCTAGAACAAAAAATCATTTTGCTAGGTCTCTTTTAAAGAAACACTTTTCCGTGAAATGAGGGACAATATATCTTTTAAAACTACAGCCAACACATATTAAGGGGACAGGAAACTTTTTGGTTGTGCAAAATGGTAAAATCAATATAATTTAAATAGGGGTTCTATTGTATTTTCTATTATTATTATCTATTTTAACCTTACTTGGAGCAGAGGTGTGATGTACAATGCTGTAAAGTTCTCTTCCCATATTTTTCGACATTGCTTTGACGACAACAGTTGTTGAAAGCCAGATTGAAATTGTGCTGGGAAATTATTTTTGTTGAAACATGTTACTTTTGCATTATTAAAACAATGAACATAAATCAATTAAACAATGAACATTAAATCAATACAAATCTCAAAATAAATTTGAAAAACATACAGTATTTAAAGGTAAAAAAAAAACCATCAACTTAGAAACACTAACATTAACCCAAATCAGAAATAATTTTGTCTGATTAAATGTTGCTGGGGAAATATAACCTGGCCACTTTTCTGCTTAAATCTTCCTAAGCGACTAGTGCTACCGCAAATTGCCATGCGACAAACATACACAAAAGCCTTGCACAGACTGGTAAAACCAAGTAAAGTTACTCGTTGTTAATGTAAAAATTAATCTAATTCAAACATAACTTTTCTCCTTTGAGAATCGCTTTACTATTATTTTCATTAAATTTTGGAATTCATATTAATTCTCATATTACATATTTTTTGCTACATAAATGCAACACAAAACCACTGTCATAATCAACATAATCATCATCATAATATCAATATCTGCATTATTATCATAATCATTATTATAAATGAATTATTTCAAATTATAATTTTAATATTTATGTTATAAAATTTTAAATTCTAGGTCTTTACCTGGGACTGTTTTTTGCAAAAGGTTGTCAATAACTTTGTGAAGGATGAAAATGCAGTCATCCCTGTTCTTGCCTGTTGCTATTGACAACAATCTCACATCATTATGCAGATGTTGCCATAGAAACTCAATCACATTATGTGGATGAGGTTTAATCATATTGATGATTGGCTGGAAAGAAAATTCTTTATAAAAAAATACTCTGTAGTATAAACTTTACTGCAATCAACATAATACATGTTAATACCGGATATTACAAATGAATATTTAAAACTGAAACAAAAAAGGAAAGCAAGCCCCCAAAATAAATCACTATACTGATAATATTCATGATCATTTCCTAACCTGTGGACCTTGTTGGCTTTCAGTTCCCAGCAGCATACTAGCATGCAACAAAAAGCGGACGACAGCAGTTGCCAAGCAGTTCATCGCTCGTTCAATCACAATCTGGTCACCATGTTGAATTTGTGGGCATCCAAGTACATGGCCTGTGCAT